GATTGGAATTAGGAATCACGTCTATTTCACAGTAAATATTCTCTAAATTGCCAAATACTTTTATAAAGGTAGGCTAGAGTAAGTTTAAAGTATTTTTTAACTATTAATTGTCAATTCCAAGAATATAATATGCCAGTTTGTTTTGATTTAACCTAAAAATTTGACAGATATGAACACATGATCGCACTACAGCCAAATAGGTTCATCTTCAAAGATATTCCACCACACCATAACTGCTTCTAGCTCAAAAAATCCTACTGTACGTACACTCCACACAGCCGCCATTTTGTTTGTTTCACTTATTAATCCTACTATCCTACTTCTTATCCTACTAATCTATATAAATAAAATTAGAGTTTTGTCTGTACTTTGCTCAGAATTATATACTTTTAGGTTATTTTTACGTTTTATACATTAAAGAAGCAGAAACGAGTCTTTATCTCTATTTCTGTCTGTCTGTCTGTCTGTATGTCTTTCCCTTTGTCTGTAACACTCAAGATGGCATTTTACGCAATCTTCTCCGTGAAAACCAGAGTACCTATCAAGATCCAAGTCATTTTAATGTATTCACTGGATTGGCGAGAGTGTCTTTAGTGATTTAAATATAGCCTCACTACTTTGTAAATAAAATTACGGACGTTAAAAAATGCAGTTTTGTGCGATTTTTGTCAAATTTTCGTTCAATTTTTATCACATAATCGTCTATGAGATAACGAACAGCTGTTCGGATCAAGATTATTTTTTCTAGCTGTCAATGATATGTTTACAAATGTTGTTTACAAATACAGCAACCATTTCGAATCACGTTTTGAAAGCAAATCCCAACCAAGTGAGATTAAAAACGTTTTTCTTACATAACGGATTTAATTAATCGCAAGTGCAATAATATAGTCTAATAGTGTAACCGTAAATGAAATTAAATAACTAGACATCGTCCAAATCGGAACCAGAAATTCTTTGAGTATAAAATGTTTCTTGAGTTTTGACAACCAGAAAGACGACCTTGAATCAGTGTTGTATAGGGCTTTAAAAAATAACGCAAAACCGTTAATTTTACAAAAATGTTACAAGAATAACTTTGGAAATTCTATTAAAAATCGATTGACACCTTACTTTTTAAGATTGGATGAATATTAACTGAGATATGGCGCAGCTTTAGTGATACGTGACCGCTGGAAGTTAGTTGCAGCTCATATTGAAAGCGGTAACTTTATCAATAAAGCTGCCATATCTCAGGTAATCTCAGTCCAATATAAAAAAAAGGTGCCAATAGATTTTTAATGAAACTAGCTGTTTCTAGTGGGGCCTTGTACCAACGGGCTTCAGCCAGTTTGACTTCATAAGTATCAATAAAACTATTTGATTGGTTAATTAAGATAAGCTGAAATAAACAAAATAGAATACAGTACTACAAACAAATTAATCAAATCACACCTGAATTTAATAAGGTAATGTAATAAATTGAAAAAATAACAAACAAATAAGTACAGCTGAGGTATTTTAAACATTAGGTTCATGGAAAGTTCCCTTTAGAAAGGAATTACGACCTTAAAGGGCAATTTATGAAATAATGGATAGTTTTGCGCAAGGTTTCTCGCCATGACCACACCAAAATGTATAGCCTAATGTAAAATGTTCTTGAATCGTAGTTAAGGTTAGGCATGGTGTACAGTTTGATATATTTAAAGTATTGTTTATGCTCATTTTAAGTATATGATTTATGGGGTGTGACTTTTAGTTTTCTCAAAATTTCATGGGTAGGGAACTAACTACTTTGGGATTTATGTATGGATTGCCTTAAAAAGTTACTCTAGTAAAATATTTGTGAAATCAACGGGTTTTAAGTTATTTAAGAAACAACATTTTAAATAGCCACCATTTTGTTTTATGAATTTGAAAAATTGTCATAACGTTTTGGTAGCTTTACCTAGTTTTGTCATAAATCTTTGTGCACGAGTTTCCATTTCTTTATAACCATTCTTTATAAAAAAATTAATAGGCGAAAAAATGGTGGCTGTGTGTTTAATTGATTTATAATTAATTGATAATTGATAGTAATACTTCCCCAGACAGCACGTGAGCTTGGACTAAACTTGGTTTTTACATATTTCTGAATTGGTATGACAAACTTGGAGTTTGGAACCCACTACAAATTTAAAACAGCTTTGGTTAAGTGAGCTTGTGTGAATGAGCCAAAACTAAACTTGTTTTATTTACATATATTCCTGAAAATTAAATACGGTATTTAGATATGTCTCTTACTCAGGAACAATGCTCTACAATTTTGGTAGAAAAAGTACCGGGACACTCTGTCTAAATTACTATGTTGTCACATTTCAGAGCCATTGTGTTACCGGTTGGAAATCACTCAATGCTGATTGCAGGGGTGGCTCCAGGAATATGTTTTGGGTAGGCCTGACAAGAATCAAGAAAGAGTTTGATCGGGGACGAAAGGTTTGAAGATCTTTGTCCGCAAAAAGGGGGGAATTTTAAAATTTAAATGCAAAATAATATGTTTGAATGCGATCTCTTTATTTACATGTAATTAGATTTCTTTATTTGCTTATGAATGCTGTGGTTATTAATAACTGAATAATTTAAATAAGAATTTAGCATATTGTCCATACATTTGTTATAGTATTTTATTAGCTCATTACTTTACTATTTCTATGGCATCTCATCTTGGGCAAAGAAATTTGCATTATTGTTTGCTATGCAACCTCTGCAACGACAGCCAAAGCCTGGCCGATTTCGTTGAAATTGAAGATGTAATGCCGCGAGCGTTTCAGGGCAGGAATTGGACTAGCCTACTGCGCATGCGCCAGAAAGAACCAATTCAGTTGTATTTGGTCTTCAACGAGTCGACTCACGAGTCATAACTTACTAGTTCAGTTCAGTTTCAGTTCTGCTGTTAGCTACCTCCGTGACGATTGACGACTTGAGCCAGTCATCTCTGTCACCCCCATCATCCGTTGCATTTTAAGTACCTATTCGGTACTTTAATACTAACTAATGGGAATGGACTAAAAATTGAGTTTTCCCATTTTTTACCCTAAAAACATTGTTTTTTGTATTTTTCAAGTTATTTTGTGATACTTGACAAAATTAATAATTTAAACTTAATATGTTCAGAATATACCATGAATATTCCAGAGTACTTTTCCAGAATATTCTGAGAATGTTCTCCAGATTTCTAGGCTATATAAAAATTTTCTTAGAATATTTTCTATGAATGATCTGAGTATATTCAAGGAAATTGCCTGGGATGTTGAGAATGATCTCAAACATTTTAGAAAAATTCCAGGAAATCCTATTATTTTTCATGTTGTATTTAAATGTTATACGGTATATACAAGTAAGTTAAAAAAAATTTAGATTTTCTCAAATTTGATGTTGGCAGATATTGATTGCAGTCCATGCCCTGGAATTTGAGTGGAGCAGAATCATTGCAACTAAAAATAAATTGAAATACCATCCAGAGAAAATATAGGAAATAAGGTCAACGATATTTGGTATCAAATTAAACTTACCAAATTCAAAATAAGAGTTTTTGGAATTTTTTACATACTTCAACCTCCTTTGTTTGAATAATCTTTATGTTAGTCTGGAATTTTCAGATTTTATTTTAGTTCCTTTATACATTTAAACAGACCAATGCATCTGCAACTACGCATGCAACTTAACGATTGCAATACAAAAACACCAATAAATAATAACAATGGTATATAAAAAGCTGTTGTGTTTACTATTCTATATTTTTGAAAGTGCATATTATGCATATTATATATTGACTACATCAGAGCTTATGTTTAGAAACAAAGTAAAACATAATTAAAAGAAGTATAATAGCTATTTACCTTACAAGTGTAGTAAGAGCGTTTTTACATCACGCAGGTCAATGTTGTGCAACGAGCGGAAGCGAGTTGCATAATTTACCGAAGTGATGTAAACACGCTCTTGCGTAACGTGTAACGTACAAGATTTTACCTGACCCGACCAGGAGGTTACGAACAATATTTTTCATTATCCATTTCACTCATCTTCTAAGGCCTCGGGTACGATACGAGCGGCGAGCGGTGAGCGGCAAGCGGCGAGCGGCAATCTGAGCGGCACGTGAGCGGCGGTGGTGGCTACGATACAAGCGGCACATTTATAACGCTCATCAAGTTTCCCAAGTTTTATGAGTTAGTTTAGTATAAAATTGTAAACTATGCTTACCTGCATGCAACTTTTGTTGCTATCTGTCAATTGTTTGCCTTTAAAGAAAAACTTAGTTTTTAGAAAAAACCTTAACCCTAATTTTTTCCCATACTTTTCTGGTGACTGAAGTGTTTTAAAACTTCCTTGATGGTCATTCCACAAACATTACCTGAACTGCACCTCACGTATCGACTCGTATCGCATGTTTGCTGCTGTTTCCCTGTCATTTTAGGCCGAACTGAAGCATGACTCACCTGAGCGGCGAGCGGCGTTTTCGCGAAAATCGGTTTTGACTTGGAACCATGAGCGGCGCTGAGCGGTGCCGCTCACCGCCGCTCGCCGCTCAGACGTATCGTGGCCACCCTCAACAAATTTACACGCAACTAAATGAGACCCGATGTCAGAGCGGCGCCGCTCATGCCGCTCGCCGCTCACCGCTCGCCGCTCGCCGCTCATATCGTACCCGGGGCCTAACAGTTACGTTCATTTACAAACAAAAGCTAGGTTAAGAAAATTCTTCAAAACATAACAATAAAATTCAAGCGCACAGCTGATTTCTAGCGTTGAACGTTGTTGGCTCCATAGAGCTGTATATTTTTTAAGTTAAGCACTCAATGTTATTTAAATGGGTTTCATTACATCACCGAGTGAGTTTTTTCAACTTTACATCACTCGAGAAGTAACGAAGTTATATACATCACGCTTGGGATAGGGAAGTTTAACATGGCGGGTTAGGTAAAAAAAATTATTACAGCTGGAAATAATGGCATTGTAAATGATCATTCAATTTTAATAGTTTATGTAGAACATTTATTTTAAAACATATAAAGTAAATCTTAAACAGTGGTAATTTATCACAACTGTCCGTACCATCACACCTCACACTAATAACAAAACATTTTTAAGTCTTCAATCAGTTCACCAGTACCTCAATCAATGACTCTGTAACAAAAAAACTCTGTTTTAGGTTAATTTAATAAACATGGGCAACACATTCAATGTGAAGCCAAAGCGTAGTTCACACTAGTAAACATATTGTATGTGGTACTATGGGGTTATTGCATGAAGTTTTGGCTGTTATTTTTTTATTCGTGTCACTATAACATAGTAAAATGTACAGTACAATAGATTCCCTCTTATCCAGACTCTCGGGACCGAGGTCAGTCCGGATAATGGGTTTTCTCGTTAAACTGACTATTACTGAGTGAGTAATGCATACTGTATATACAGTATTTGACCATAATGTAGTAGAGCATAATCACTGTTCTCATATCCTTAACACAAGAACAGTCGTTTCAGTAACGCTTACCTCCCACTTCCTGCCGACCTAGTTCGGTTAAACCGATGTGCTGATAAAAATTGCCCGGTTAAAGGCCTATTTTGCTTGGAGCCATTGCAGCGATAGTCGCATGGCGATAATCGCTCTGCGATAGTAGCCGGGCACTGCTCTGACGGAGTTTGCGTTGTCCTGTTTTGCTTGGAGCGACTATCGCAAGAGTCGCGGACCACTGCCCCGGGGACCAGTCTGAGCGATAATCGCGCCGCGACTGATGCGCAGAACTTCAAAACAGTACAGTTCACTCAGTAGGCACATAATAGGGGTTAAATTAGCCATAATTTACTTTTTTGTTCACATTAATTTTTCTATTCATGTGCCGTTACGATTCTACTGTTTTGGTTATATTTCATTACACATTAATTTCATTTTCTAAATTAAATTTTAGTAGAAACAGGCGACTTGTTTAAATTTGTTAAGGTAATTTACGTCTATTCAAATTTATTAAATATAAAATGCTTGACTGTTCCAAGTTGTTATGTGTTATTTACGTAGTGTGGGCGTTAATACTGTGTCAGTTTTTGTATGATTTTTTTTTTTAAATTTAGACTCCAGGTTTTATTTTCCGACATTCATGTACTCTTATTGATATCACTATTTTTTTATTTATATAAATATATTTTTTCATTGATATCACTACAGTTTTCTATTTATGTCCTATCTAGTGACCTCTAGTGATACGTATCCGTCCCTAATCCTACGTATCACTATGTATTTTCAATTGATCGTCCATTGATACTTCCACTAGGGTCGAGTGGAGCCTCGTCTCCTAAATCCTCACCGAGGAGACGCTTTAATGACTTGCAATTCGCACTCATGACTTCACCATTGTGAGTGCTGATATTTAACTAACTATGAAAAATCGCTGTGCGACCGAAAATCAATCGCTCTAAGCAAAACGGCCGCCTTGTCAGCTATAGTAGCTGAGCGATAATCGCTGTGCGACTATCGCTACAGTCGCTCCAAGCAAAATAGGCCTTAAGAGATGTAATTTCCACCGAGTGTTGTCTGGTTTAACCGATGTCAGGTTAAAAGGTGTCCGAATAAGAAGGAGTCTACTGTACCTTAACATGGCTATTAAACATAGTAATAATGTTCCCTAATATGCAGCAAGGAAAATCAATTTTACTTAGCCTAAATACAAAGCGAAGGAGACTGATTCTGAAAATTACATTGCACTGCAACAGCAATGTTATGGGGTAAAGTTCTGCAGAGAAACTTTAATGTATTATACTATCCTATCAAATTTTCAGTTTCTATAAATTAATAGGCCTGCTTATTAATCTTTTAGCCTGGGTGTTTTTAAAAAAAGGACCACCCGCCAATCTTTTACAGACCATTGCGGCGTTTAGGTTATGTTAGCTTATAGGCCTACCACATAGAAAAAAACCACGCACCTGTATGAGTCGTGCATGCAGGACAGCGCAGGAGAGTCAGAGTGGTGGGGAAAGACACCTCGCCCCAACGACTTATCCCCACCACTGCTAAAGGCCCTTCCCCACCATCACCCTTCACCCCTACATGCGCGAGACAGCCATGGTTCTGCGCAGGTTCTTTTGAAAGTGGTAGCCTAGGCCTATAGTTTATAAACAAACAAGGTATCATTAACAAAACGTTTAGCTTTTTTCTATAAGCTAAGTTACTCATGAAAAGACACGACTAGGTATAATTTGGCGCTTTTGACAATCAGTTTTGATAGAAAACTGTACAACACTAACCCAACCCAATGATGATGCTATTGGAACAATTTGTATTTATTTATGTGTTACCTGGTTTTTATTAACATAAACTAAACCAAACTGAACTAACCTTGTTTAACCACCACAGCACAGTGTGAAAGTCTATTTGAAAAGAATCTATGGCTTTAAATATTCATATCACGATACAGTACCTTTAATACTCAAAACAAAAATCGGAATTTATATCGCAGGGAATAATATAAAGTACTATTTGTATAACAAACTGATATTTCACCCAATATATATTGAAGGTATTGAAGGTAGGCCTACTGATATTGCAGGTTCTTTAAAGGACTTTACTGCAGTTCTTAATAGCCTACATTGTTTATAGTAAAACATTCTATGATAAAATGAAGACTGTAAATGTATTGTTATTTGTTTCATCAAAATTACCTTGACTAAAGAATAAATTGTAGGCCTAGTTATTTTGATCTTTATAATAATATGACCATAACAACCTGTATAATGATTTAGGCTATACATCACTAAGTAGAGGACAGATTGTTTATTCCTAAAAGTAGGTAACGGGCAACAGTTTTTGGCCGCTACAAATAACTTAACGTATATTTTCCTGTCATTGGAGTTTCAAATAGCATGTTTATCATGGCCATGTTACTCTAAATAATTTCAAACAAACCGCTATTTAAATTAAACAAACGATGTTTTAATATTCTGACTATTACAACAGCGCGAGGAAATGCCTCTTTCAAAAGGTTACAGTATTCTTATTAAGTTAGAGACTATATGTGTGTATGAGTAGCAAGTATAATCATAGACAAAAAGAATTATATATAGACTACCAGCCGTGCTGCGGTTGCCATGGTTACCATAGGTTCCATAGGCGCACACCGCTGTAGTTTACGTAGCGCGTACGCCGTAACTACCGTGGTGCTCCAAGCGGTGTGCGCCAGAACCTATGGTAACCGCAGCACAGCTGACGGTCTATATTTAATTCTTTTTGTCTATGGTATAATGTAAAGAATGGGTACTTTCCTGTTAAAGGGAACATTTATTATAGATAATTTCTTTTTGAATATCAAAATTTTATTTTTCTGTCCGTTAAACAGCCATTCCCCATTCCTTTTCTGTTATTAAACGGAATTTTGAAACGGTAACATAGCCTATACAGCAAGTTTGGTTAGTTATGTTATAACTTAGGTTAGATTAGCTTAGTTTGATTTTATAATCCAATAAAATAGGCTATTAAATGTTTGCCTAAACAAGGTTCAGCCTACTTCTAAATTAGTAGATAACTTAAATGTGTTTGAAGATAACAGAAGGAATAAGTTATGAATCGTGAAGTAAAACAAAAATATTGATAAGCTTATATCGAAAAGAAATCATCGATAAAAATGAATGTTCCCTTTAACAGGAAACTGCCAAAGAGTGAGAGACCCAATATAATATAGTAACCTAATAGGGTACTATAGTGTAGGCCTGTCTATCGATAGCGGAACCTAGCCTTGCCCTACGCCAGGGTAATGCAAAGCCTATCCAAGGCCTAAGTTATTTAAATGTTAGTTAGTTAGCCTACACATTTAATTGGCACATTTAAGGAGCATATTTAGTCTACGGCATAGACTTTTTTCCAAACAGTTAATAGTTTACAGGCTATAGGTTTAAATGTGTCAACCTAAAGATTAGGCCTTTATACAACTCACCCAAGGGTTTCTAATATGAAAGTTACACCGCTTGGTAACTTATTTTGTAAGTGCCGTTTACCACACAGCCTAGACAGTTCTTATATAATTATAAGATTCGTCCTTTTGCAATGTTTATGGGAAATGTCGGTAGTCCTAACCATGTCCTAACTGTGTGACCCTACAGGGGTACAACAGTTTCTTAACTGGGCTACGCTAATATCGATTGGAACTACCGAATTGATTGAAATATTAATTAATAATCGATATTTTAAAATATAATGTCTATTATAAAATTAATCTATCATAACCTAACCTAACTTAACTCACCAAACTTGTTGATGGTGAAAAAATCGCAGTTTACTAATCGAATCGATAGTTTCAATCGATATTAGTGTAGCCCAGTTAAGAAACTGTATCCTCAGGGCCGGACTTAAGACTTCAGGGGCCCCGGGCAAATTTTCCAATGGGGCCCTAGGATTTCCGTGTGGGGGGCCTCCGGGGGGATTGGGGAGCAATTTAGGGCCAAATAAGCAATAAGTTCTATATCAAAAATCGTTCTTAAAACATAACTATTTTAACATATTTTTATATACAGCATCTTTTAATTTTATACACAAAAAATAAAAATGTTTGAAACCTAATCTCTTGCATTCACTATTTAAACAAACTCTGACCAAATGTTTCAATTGCTTTGTAGTACCAGTGACGGCATATTTGGTATGGTAGCATGGTAGGCTACCATAATATATTTGGAATAGAAGCATTGATATATTTTTGTTTATTACGTATTTAAATTATCGATTATTGCCGTCGATTTGTATGATTTTTCAATATTACTACAATATAGGTGTGATTATTTTTTTTTTCATAATGGTTTTGGTACCTATGACCGTGTGCTCCCACTATCTCCGCGTTCCGCCATCTCCGAACCCAAATCTGTCCCGCCACCTCCGAATTCTTGAGTGACCCTTATAATCCCGTCACTGCCTGCGCTGATAGCTGTCATTGCATTCACGGCTGCGAAGGCCGTGGATGGAAGATTTAATGAAAATTTAACCCGTGGGTTAGGTTAGGTTAGGTCAGGTTTTAAAGTTAAGTTAGGATAGGTTAGGTTTGGACGGAAAGTCTTAACGCAGGAAGTAACCGAGGATTATAGGGGTCACTCTGAAATTCGGAGGTAGCGGTACACGGAGATGGCGGGACGCGTAGATAGCGGGAGGTAACCCCTATGACATTCTCGTTTTTATAATAATATGTTAAAGTCCTAGCATGAAAAGTACCATTGAGGACTTTCAAGTTTGAGTTTTTTATTGACGAGCAAAATCTTGCAATGTCTAATAAACACTCACAAGCAAATATATTTATATAAGTAACTGAAAGAAGTCTAAATGGATCCAATATCGATTAATACAACACAAACATAGCATTGAATACAACATTACTCACTTCAGCTTTGTTTGTGTACTGTTAGTTTGCAGAATTACAATAAAATAACTCAAAAGTAAGACAATTTCAACCAACTTGACGTGACCACTAGTCAGTCTCAAAGGACAAACTTTGGGAGTAAAGTGATTTAAATTGTTTTGGATAGGCGATAAGGCATTTTATGTATGTGTATGCGCGTGCGTGAGACAGACAGGACTAGACAGGATCCCTTATCAGCTCATTATCATTGATTGTTGCAGCTGCTTCTGCTTATCGCTTGTTTACGATTTCAGTAGACAACGCTCGCCCACTCCCAATAAATGTAACTTTTTGTTAACATAAGACGACTCTAGTTGTTTTAAAGTGTCTATATAGATTTAAAAAATCTTACTGGCGCAGTATGATTTTGACTCCAAAGACTAAATTGGAGGTCAACATTTCGACGCATAACTTAAATAATTACTACTTTACATTGAACGGATAATATACTTCTACCCCTTAAAATCCTGATTGGTATATACTTAGAGGTAAAAGAAAAGAATAACATTTAATAAAACATAAACGGAGCAATGTTTTTATTTTTTAAGTATTTGAACTCCAGTGAATCTCCATTTAACACAACAAAAATTACGTTCTACGTTGGGACAAGAGTTTTCATATTTATTGTATTTTTGCCCCAAGCGCGGGGCCCCCTTCAACTCATTCGCCGCGGCCGTACGTTCGGGCGAGGATTCTATGTTACTTGGTTTGTATTACCCGTCACTAGTTTCGTATTACTAAAAATAAAGTTTCCTTGTTTTATCCTTGTTTTATTTGGTCAACACTTAGAACAAAACACAACAAACACTTTTAAAGACTAGGCCAACAGTATTTGTATTAAAACTAACTTTTAACTTACAAAGGGTGCACGGGGATGGCACGGTAGAACGCATAACAATAAACACTCTTGTATACACTTAAATCCGACTTCAAAACATACGATACATCGATAAAACCATAGATAAAACATATTTCTAAAACCTCAAATTATAAAAAAAAAAAAAAAAAAAAAACACAGCTTTAAGACTTTGAAAACTACAATCGCTGAGGCACGGCAGGGGCAGGGCAGACAGATGACAGAATCAAGAATCAAGAATCAAGAATTTTTATTTCCATAAAATGTGGTTACATTGCTGGAAAACGTCAGTCAACTATAGCTAAAAAAATAAAAACTAAAATAAGACAATGGTACAAGGTTTCTTACCAATATAAGAATTGTATTCTGAATTCTCTATTCAGAATTCAGAATTCAGAACGACAGAACAGGAAACAACTCTTTTGCTTCAATTGTGACATATTGAAGGCTCAAATAACATATCCTCCTCGAAAACTCCAAATCACGTAATGCGCCCGCTCTGGCTGACAGTGGAAGCCATCAAAAAACGACACACTGAGACTGAATTCTACATTACCTCAATTCCGTATCGTGAAGACTGCAATGAAAGATTTATTGAAGAGACAAACAAAGCATTAGCCTTCATGTGCACCAACTTAAAGGTAGAATTTGTGGACAACAGAGATATATTGGGAAAACAACATCTAAACTGGGATGGTATTCATCTGAATTCAGAAGGCACCAGCATAGTGACAAAACGGATCCTGGAGGCACTGAAACTCAATGAAGACATCTGTGAGAGTGGTTCAGCCCCCCTCCTAATCACTACTGCCCCCCCAAACTCCAACACAGCCTCTCCCCCCAAGAAAACATAGCAACACCATCAGACTCCCCGAAACACCCCAGCACAGCCCCCCAGACAACAATTAAACCCGGACAAGACAAAAACTTATTAATACTTCACCTCAACACCCAACGTGGCCTTCAAAACAAAGTTGACCGTCTTCTTATTGAAATCAACAAATACAACCCAGACATTTTAATCCTATCGGAACATGGCCATAAAGAAGATGAACTACAACTCATAAATATTGAAGGATTCAGCCTGGCGTCATACTTCTGCCGAACCACCCGTATGTGGGGAGGCATTGCAATTTTTATTAAAAACAGCACTACCCTAAGCGTTGAAGAGATAAAATTGGAAGAACATCAGGAACCAGCAGAAATGAGCTTTGAAACAACAGTCCTAAGGATAAAACATAAGACCTGCAATTTTATACTTATTGGAACATACCGTACCCCTGACCATCAAACAGAATCCGAATTCTTAAATAAACTAGAGACATGCCTGCAAAGATTCTCGTCAAATTCGACTAAAATACTAATACTTGGTGATGCAAACTTTAACATTTTAAAACCTGAAGAACAGAGTACCATAAATTTAAATAACACTCTCAGAAAACATGGCTGCCACGCTTATTTTATCCCAATAACAAGACAAACCCCAACTAGCACTACAAGCATAGATGGATGTTACACCAACTTCCTGGATGAAGAATTAGAAGTTACCGCACACAAAAACACAATCTCAGATCACCATCTTCTTTTATGCACAATATTCATCAGGACTAAAGACCAAAAGGCAACCTATAAATATCTCAGGAATTTTTCCAAATCAAATTTAGACCAACTAAAGTCCCAACTTCACCATGCCGACTGGACATCAGTTTACGAGCCTCTGGACATCGATGACAAATACAACAATTTCTTGAGTATAATGAAACTAAACATTGAACAGGCTATGCCCAGAGTATCAACTAGAATAATAAACACCAAAACTCCAATTTTCTGGGACAACACAACACTTTCGCTAAAGGCTTCGCTCAATGAAGCACAAAACAAATATTACCTAACGAACTCTGAAGATGACAAAAATACCTATCTGAGAATCAAACAAACTTACGACCAAGATGTCAAGAATAAAAGAAAATTTCACACCACAGCTAAAATTCAGCAAGCAGACAATAAAAATAAAGAGCTCTGGAATACAGTCAATAGAGAAAGAAATAAAAAAGCAAGAAAACAAAGCAACATTAGCCTAATCCAAAACAATGAACCAGTCACAGATGCCTATCATGTTAGCAATATTTTCAACAAATTTTTTGCAACACCCATTGGAACCCCCCCACCCCAAAACCACACTGCGGATTCTGACCTACAAAATTCAGACGCCAATGAAACATCACTCAACATCTTCAACCCTATCACTGTGGATGATCTGAAAAAGCTTTTTAGCAACATAAAAAACAATAACTCATCAGGATTTGACGGAATAACTGGAAAAATTATTAAACACTGCAAAGAACAAATAATGCCCCCTCTTCATCATCTTATCAACACATCTTTAGAGCAGTCCAAAATTCCCAAAAACCTAAAAATTTCAAAAATCCACCCAGTACATAAGAAAGGAAGCAAACAAGATCCAAGTAACTATAGACCAATCTCCAACCTACCAACAATATCAAAACTCCTGGAACGAACTGTCTACAACCAGTTAATAAACCACCTAGAAACAAATAAACTTCTTTCTACTAGTCAACATGGCTTCAGAAAGGGGCTCAGTACAAATACGGCCATAGCTAAACTATGTGAACATATAACAACACTCTGGGAAAGTAAAAACCATGTTTCAGGAGTGTTTTTGGACTTACAGAAAGCTTTCGATAATCTAAATTGGGAAATCCTCTTCAACAAATTAAAAACCTTTGGAATTAAAGACAAAGTTCTAGAATGGATACACAGCTACTTTACAGACAGATACCAATATGTTGAAATAGATCACCAACGCTTCAGCTCGATAGTTAGTGTACAATCCTCCCTCAGAAGAAGTACAATAGGCATCCCACAGGGCTCGATACTCGGTCCACTATTCTTCATAATATATATCAACAGTTTTCCAGACTCCTTAAACCCTGAACAGAAATGTATTCTATTCGCCGATGACACTACCATTCTCACCCCCATCCAACCCAAAACTGACAATAGTAACACAATAAATTCAACCTTGGACAAAGCCACCGAAATCTGTGACAGATTGAGCCTAACCATCAACAAAACAAAGACAGTACATATAACCTTCATGCCCAGCAATAGACATGGCACAGGAATTGATACAGATCCAGTCTCGACCATAACAAACTCAAACTCGACAAAATTCCTCGGTGTATTCATTGATAAAAACCTAAACTGGAGTGACCACATTGATTATCTCTGTAAAAAACTGACGTCTGCGCAGTTTGTAATTAGGCGAATCAGAAATATTACAAATGAAGAAACAGCGTGGGTGGCCTATCACTCCCTGTTCTCATCACACCTGAGATATGGAATAGCGGCGTGGGGATCAGCAGCTATTAACAAGATTGACAAAGTCCTTATCCTTCAAAAGGAAACCATCAGAACTATACTGCGGCTGGATTATCAGGAACACTGCAAACCCTTCTTTGTCCAAAATAAAATCCTCACCGTTATTTCACTTCATATTCTGGAAACCATCATCCTGGCCATAAATTCCTCGCCTGGTCTCAGACAAGATAAACACAACTACAATACACGAAATAGGGCAAACATTGATCTTCCACAACACACACTCACAAAATTCAGCAACTCCCCACTGTACACTGGTTCATATCTCTATAATTTACTGCCGAACTCTATAAAAGCCATTGACAAACACAACACATTTATTTACAAGCTTAAACAATATTTAATCAATAGGCCCTACTACACCACAGCAGAGTATATCGAGGAACACACTTTTCAACACCTTAGATAACGGGACTCACTTCGAGAACCAAACAGATGAATCTTGACGATTCCCCAATCACCCGATTGCGGAGAAGACTTCAGAAGTAAGAAGTAAGTAAGTAAGTAAGTGTGTGAGAGTCGTTCATTTGAGATCAGCTCAATTTTACGGTTTGCGCATGCGCAGTAGGCTAGTCCAATTCCTGCCCTGAAACGCTCGCGTAATGCCGGCAAACCGAGCTGGTAGAAGAAATAACTAAACGAAAACGAAGTGGAGTCAGTGGAGTGGAGTGGACTGAGTGGACTGGAAGCTGCGATGTGTGACTGTGAGTGTGATGGCGTGCTGAGCCGAATGAATTATTCAATCAGTTAATCAGTTCAATTATTGTGTAAGCAAGCATCAGTACATGAAGCTACGTCCAGCATTGGCGGCATCTTTTATGCTTTTGTATAATTAAGTTAATGTGACGTTGGGAATCTTAAACATTTTAATGCTTATTTTCGTAATTCCGTGTATTGTTTTGTTGTGCATGTATGGGATTGTCAGCAAGTGAATTGTCCAGGAAGTTTAGTTCTATTATTCATTGAAAACTTGGTGAGTTCCTTCATTTATGTGTAGACAAAAAATAACCTGTTAGGCTAATTGTTAGGTTGCCAGCCTCATTGATCTGAGGCAGTACAAAATACTTCAATTTTTTATTATTGAATACAACGAATACCGGTCCGGTACGCCGGCCATTTTGAATGTGCATTCTGCCTTCTTTCTCACCTTTTTTCCTTGGCCTAACTAAACTAAGTATAAAACCTTAGCTTAGATGATTTTATTAGGCCTCTGACCCTGATACTTATTGTTTTTTTTTATTGTAAGATGAGTTAGGCATAAAGATTTTTCGACTTAAAATAGTGTATATAAGTTACACGGTAAACTGTAGGCTAAGTTAAATTATAATCTTTATTGTGATTGTTCCCTGCCACTGAGATAGGCCTAAAGCACGGGTCACACTAGGCTGTTCGCCAGCCGATGGTGATCAGCAGCTGGCACCAGCATCACCGGCTCACCAATCCAGGCTGAGTCAGCTCAGTGTCAGCTGCGAATTTTGTGGTCACATTAAGCTGACAGTCGCGGCTTCTTTCAATTCGCCGCTGATGCCAGCCTAGTGTGACCCGTGCTTTACTTACACTTGTTAGGGTAGGGTAATTTAGTTAATTTTGTGATAACTATCAAGGCTTAATCCCCTGGTACACATCTTAAAGGTTACCATGTCAGGTAACCATGATTTTGAAAGGAAAAGAATCAATGAATATTATTAACTGCTGTTTCAATTAGGCCTAAGTTAACCTCTACACCTACGGGTC